CAATGGAATGTAGATATTACCTGTTGTGGTGAGGCGGCGTCCGTCCTGCCGAACCTCTCTCCGCCGCCCAGACCGAAGGTGCCCTCGCGCGCTACATATCCAGTCTCGTAGTATCCACCCTGATACAACACAATTACAATCTTTGATATAGTTTAACATAACTAGTAATGTCTCCATGATACCAACGTTAGTACTTCACACATTGTTAACACTGTAATCTTTGTCAAATTTTTCTTGTCTTTTTTTATTAAATACTGGTTTATTTGATCACAAATCCACTTGATTGTGGTCCCAGAAACCTACTGTAAGTGAAGTATATTTACCATATGATGCGGCAACGCGCCGCGCATCAGCTGGTCATCGTATGTGTATGCAGTGGGAGCTCCTGCAGCGCCGTAGAGTGCGCCGCCCGCGTACACCGCCGCGCCCGCGCCCGCACCTGCGCCCGCGCCCGCCGCCGCGCCCAGTCCTGCCGCGCTCGCGTTGCTCACAGCGTTACCTCCACTAACTGGAATATATTAAATTAAATACCTATTGATATAAACATTTTACCTACTGGATTGTTAATGTAAGTGCAAGAAGTATCCTTAATGATTTTGGATTCAAATAACAAGGTTAGACCTTAATAAAGGCTTTTTTAATTTAACTATGACATAATGTAGAGAAAAAGTGCTTTGTACACATTATAGCTCAACATGGACTCAGCATGGTCAACAGTGACAACAGTACTAAATACCACAGATATAAAAAACCAACGACTTCAGTTAGTTGCACTCAAGAATTTAAAGATATTTTTATGATAGTCCATAAATTATTTTTAAAAAAAAGTATACCTTTCTAAATTGTTTTTTTAATAGCTAGAATGACGTACTCATCATTTTACAGCCCAAACTCTGCGTTAACGCCAAATAATTAAAGCTTTCCGTTTTTCTCCTATTAGTTCAGTCCAATTGTTAAATTTTTGATATATTTTCGACTTTAGCATTACAAATCATACCTGTTGTGGTGGTAACTTTGGCAGTCGACGTCTGCGTAGTTGACGTGCTCGTTAGACTGTTGCTTGACGCCACTGAACTGTCATACTGCAACACACAATTTACAAATTATATTTTTTTTAATACTAACTATGAATTTAAAAAATAACTTAAGTTACTCGTGCAGTTATCAGCTACGATTCAGTTAAAGTCCCGTCAAAATAGGCAGAGCCGTTTCGAAGATTACACAAAACAAAAATTGTCTTGCGGACAGACAGACATACAGAAAAATAATGTAAAATTTGTTTTTTTCATTATCAGCTATGCAAATATATCATGTTTAAGTATATAGTACCTGGATGACCGTATTTTTTTTTAAATTGTGTTTTTTTAGAAATTATATTTAAGTACGAATTACTAATAAAATGATGAAATATGAATAATATTTTTCGATCTTACCGATAGAAAAAAGTTAAGTTTATGTTTTAGTTTTTTATCGATAGCGATTCCTAGCTAGATCGATTTATCGCCCCCGAAACTCCCTATATACTAAATTTTATGAA